CAATACACATGCCATGGTAAGGATGGGCATGACTCTATATCAAGATGCTGCCCGTGGTTCTGAGTAGGACTGTGGTGCTTTTCCTGCTCTTTCTGCCTGTCTGCTTTTTCTATAACCATCAGGGGTGGTTTACTATTAAGACAGCAGTAACAAAAGCAATAACAAGAGCAAAAGAAAGTTTGTGTTAGAGAAGAAAAACAGAATAGAATTCAGAAGTAGAGCTGTGGGTCATGGACAAGTACAGGCAGAGGCCAGCTAGTCAGAGACCAGTGAGGCCGTGGGAAGCAGGACATACCTGCCTGAGCAACTGGATAAAGAGAAACCAAAATCAGAAGCTCTGGAAATGGCTCTCGCCATACGTAGCAGCAGGGGTGGTGACCCGAGGAGCCTCATCTGTCCATCAAGACCCAAATGGTAGGCCCCCTTACTGCGGATCATGAGACCGGCAGGGAGCGCTGGGGACATAGCCCCTGGGGACACTTACTTCTGCAGGGCGGCTCTCCTCCCTGTCATCCCATCCCCCAAGCCGTCCTGGAAACACAGCATGATGGATGCACTACCCCCATCACAGAGAGGAAGCTGTGCTCCAAGTGTTGGCTGGTCTGATCCCTAGTTCTGAAGTGGAAGGTCTCCTTGTAGTTTCTTGGTTTAAAACACCTCCTAATGCAAGGCATAGGGCAGGGAAGCCTGTGACCACAAGGGCTGACACTGCCTGCTCCTTGTACGTGACCCTCGTGAGTGCCCACATCCCCACACTTACAATGGGACTGAGACAAGCCATCAGCTCTGTCTCAAGAGGCAGTGATGGCAGAGAATGCCAGGTTCCATCTAAAGTCAGGAGGTACAAGACCAAAAAAAAACAAAGCAGACTCACATCCATGGGTAGGCATGAGGGATTAAGTGTGGATAATCATTTTATATATCCTTTTCTAAACACTTCACAATCTCACCTTCACCCTGCTTCTCCTAAAATCTTCCCATCCAGGTCTTACCAACCTCTGCATCACCATGACTTCTCCGATGTGCACGGCTGAGGGCTACAGAGAAAGCTACGAGCAGGAGATCGTCACGGGCTCCATAGAGGGCCTACACCAAAGGGAGGAGACTCTCAATCTGAACTCACGCTAGCCGTGCCAGGGACAGTAGGAGGACTCGTATGTGCCATGAGAGGGCAGCCTGCCAATGGGGAGCAGAAGACATCTACATCTCACTTCCCCACCCAAAGATGACTAAACCCCCCAAGTTTAGCAGAGAAGCTGGTCATCTGTCTACATGGTCTGGCTGCTGAGATTTGGTGACTACATGGTATGGTCTTCCAGGCTCACACTTCCCATGAAAAATGTCAACTCTAGGCACCAACACTCATTGGTTACCAATCCACAGGGCTGCCGTGTGTCCAAATGGAGCCTGGAAGCCAAAGAATGTAGTAGTTATAAACACTGGCTCGGGAGTCAATGCTCTCTGGGTTTGAACCCTGCCTCTGTCTCTACCGGCTGTGTGATCCCAACCAATTACTACACTTCTCTGTGCCTTAGTTTCCTTAGCCGCTGCACGCATTAAATGAGATGATGTGTCTAAAATGCTTAGCAGGGGGTGACTCATAGTGACGGCTCAGTAAATGCCAACTAAAAATAATTTATCAGGGTATCTGCATACGCATCTGTGTGCACACACACCCACAACGCTGACAGCACCCAATCCCCCTGACAGCATCAGGACCAGGGAGTACCAAACCCACAATGTGTTCTAACTGCATCCTCCCCATTCTCCCACTGGTGTCTGTCACCATCAGACAGTGAAAGGGCCAAAGGAAGAAAACACAAATTGTGAAAGTATGGGAAAGCCAGGCTAGAAGAAGCAGGGAGCCTTGTCAAAGTTGGGGTTTCAGGACAGAGGCCAAACCTCAGAAAATTGCATCAGCCAACTGCAAAACAAAAAACCCTACGTGCATGTACACGTTATGCAGAGGAAGAAGGCTGGGGGCGGGACAGGGAAGAGAGAGAGAGAATTCCTGGCATCTAAGTACTTTCCCTTTGCCCCCGCACCAGCCGATGCTCACAAGCTGACCTGGGCCTTGGCCAAGCTCTTGGCTCCTACTAAAGCAAAGCCTGCGCACGTCCCTCAAGAAAGTGACCTCTTCAAAGGCTGGGCTGGGGAGCCCTATCCAGGGAGAGAAAGGGCTCCTTGAGAAAAAAAGTAGAAAGAAAATGAGGGAGAGGAATGAAAAAGAAGGCAGAGAAGGGACAGCAGAGAAACAAGAGAGTCAAGAGTCAGAGTCAGGAAGAGTCATCAGAATTCAGAATCGGGCCAACTGGGGACCGTCCTTCACAAAAATCATCATCTTCACAACTAGCTCCATTTGGGTCCAAAACAGACTTCAGGGAGAAATGGGAATCTATGCAGGCTCCTGGGGTCTGGGGGTTGATAAAGGAATACAAGGATTCTAAGAAAGAGAGCACATGCTCAGTGTCTTGTGGACTAAGGGGCTCACACAGCACAGGGAGCTGGCAGGTGGACAGCCAGCAGGCCCTCGGCTTATTTCCAGTCATGGGCTGGACAGGAGACACAGAACAGAAGATCGACAGTATTTCTATGGGCAGGGGGAAGAATGAGATGCCTTACTGCAAGGGAAGGAGGGGGCCCTGCCTGAATCTATTGGTTAAAAGAACTAGACCCATTACCTGGGCCACTCATGATCTTTCTTTGTTGTCAAGTTGAAATAAATATCAGTGAAGATTTCTGGGGGGCCTGGGTGGCTCAGTTGGTTAAGCATCAGACTCTTGGTTTTGGCTCAGGTCCACTCTCGGGGTTGTGGGATCAAGACCTGCATCGGGCTCTGCACTCTGTGTGGAGTCTGCTGGAGATTCTCTCCCTCCCCCTCCCACTCTGCTCCTCCCCCTCCTTGTGCTCTCTCTCTCTCTAAAATAAATAAAGTCTTTTAAAAAAAATGAAGATTTCTTTCCAGCTAAACATGGTGGACCAAACATTCATGTCCATCTCTATATTCCCTCCCAAAACCCCATTAAAAACAAGAGGATGACATCAGGGAAATATAAATCAAAACCACAATGAAATACCACCTCACACCAGTCAGAATGGCTAAAATTAACAAGACAGGGAACAACAAATGTTGGTGAGGATGTGGAGAAAGGGGAACCCTCTGACACTGTTGGTGGGAATGCAAGCTGGTGCAGCCACTCTTTGGAAAACAGTATGGAGGTTCCTCAGGAAGTTAAAAATAGAGGTACCCTATGACCCAGCAATTACACTACTGGATATTTACCCCAAAGATACAGATGTAGTGAAAAGAAGGGCCATATGCACCCCAATGTTCATAGCAGCAATGTCCACAATAGCCAAACTGTGGAAGGAGCCGAGATGTCCTTCAACAGATGAATGGAGAGAGAAGATGTGGTTCATATATACACAATGGAATATGACTCAGCCATCAGAAAGGATGAATACCTACCATTTACATCGACATGGATGGACCTAGAGGATATTATGCTAAGTGAAATAAGTCAGTCAGAGAAAGACAATTATCAGATGTTTTCACTCATATGTGGAACATAAGGAATAGTGCAGAGGACCATAGGGGAAGGGAGGGAAAACTGAATGGGAAAAAATGAGAGGGAGACAAACCATGAGAGACTCTGGACTCTGGGAAACAAACTGAGGGTTGTGGAAAGGGAGGTGGGGGGATGGGGCAAATGGGTGATGGGCACTAAGGAGGGCATGAGATGTGATGAGCACTGGGTGTTATAGGCAACTGATGAATCACTGACCACTACACCAAAAACTAATGATGTACTATATATTGGCTAATTGAATTTAAATAAAAAAAAAAATAAGAGAATGACAAGCTTTAGCAGAGAAACAAACTGGAATCAGCACATTATCTGATGAACAGTTACTGTTCAATTCTTACAAAAATCTGCTTTATAAGAATTAGTGGTAGGAACGCTCACTATAAAAAAGAAAAGGGCAATTTCTTTTTCATGAGAGCAGAGACTTCAATTGTTTAGTTTTTCATGATTTCTCCAGCACCTAAAAAGTGTCTAGCAGTAGGCATCCAAGCCACTGTTGAATAAACGTACTCCCCAACGAAGGAGCACAATGTGATCTCATAGTCTATGCCTAGTACCGACTCTGCTACCCTTCACTCCCTATTAACCAGCACTCTTTAGCTCTTTAGATGTTTTCTAATGTCTGCGAGATTATAAGTTGAATAAAACTGTGGCCTGAAAAAGACAATTATTAACTGCCTTTCTGATTAAAAAAAAAAAATTCCGATTTAAAAAAAACTAATTATAATCTATTACTCAGCTCAGTTGTAGAAATGGTTTTAGGAGAATACAATGGGGATGAGCGTAGAGCATGTATCCATGAGGGAAAGTCCGTGAAAGCTCAATCTTGTACTTCTGTGAAAAGTCAACAGATCTGTCTCAAACTAGTAAGTCCGAAATAGTGATACAAACATTTTATTTAGATAAATGGAGGTAAAAAGTAGATGAAGCAGCTTTCCATGGCGTGAGAACCCACACTTTAATTCTCTCAGAACTGGAGGTAAGTGAGTGGCCCTGCAGAAGAAGACCTGCTGGGGAAAGGCAGAACAGGGCCTCTGGCTTACCTTTAGAAGACACGCAGTGGTATTTGACTTCTAAAATCATACCTATAGAACACTTGGATCAAGAACGAAATTTTCTTAAACAACAACAAAGATTATTTCAAGACCTCGCTCAAATGACTCCTCCCTCCACAAAGTTTTCTCGGATCTCCTGTGAAAATGACTGTCGGTACCATCCGTCTGGCAATTAATCCTATTCCACTTGGCGATGAGCGCAACTCTTCTATCTTCTATCTTTCCACATGTCTTGAGTCCCTAAGTTACAGTTGCTTCACGGGAAAGTGCGCTTCTCACCACAACTGAGGAGTCCACCGCAGACCAGGTGATTAAATCCACAAGCTCAGGAGAGGGGCGGCACCCGGCTCCCCGTTACCTGCATAAGCGTTGGCCTGCTGCAGAAGGTCGGTGCAGGTGTGCACGTCTGCAAACGCGCGGATGCCCAAGCAGTTGGTGGGATGCAACTGAGACTGCAGGAAGTCACAGCAGTTCTGCCGAACGTCCATGAGCTGCAGCAAGCTGGCCGCTGGGAGCAGCACCTGCAGGAGAAGGTGACATGCTGAGACACCAGATCCCCTCCAGCAGGCCCTCATCGCCCTAAAGCACTGTTCCAATCAGAGCACTCCCTCGCTCAAGGTCCTTGCGTGGCCCTCCCCTGCCTGTCCAACTAAGTCCGAACTTCCTTCAGGGCAGCCGAGCCTTATTTCACACGACTCTCCACTTCGTGGCCCTAAGCACCAGCAGAGTCTCTGTATCCCTACATTCCATAGCAGTGCCTCCCAATCACTTATGTATATATGAAATCTCTGGGCATCTTATTAAAATTCTGATTCAAGAGGTCTGGAGTAGGGCCTGGGAGCCTACATTTCTAACGAAAAGCCAGGTAGGTGATGCTTGCAGCTACTGGCCCAAGAACCAAACTTTGAGTAACAAGCCCCTTACGGACTGAATGTTTGTGCCCTCCTCCCCTAAATGTGTATGTTGAAACCCTAACCCCAACATGACTGTATCTGGAGACAGGACCTATGAAGAGGCGATAAAGGTTAAACGAGATCATAAAGATGGGGCCCTTGCAGGAAGAGAAAGAGACACCAGAGCTCTTGCTCCCTCTACAATGTAAGGACACAGGGAGACAGCAACCTTCTGAAAGCCAGGAAGAGTCTCACCAGCAACTGAATCAACTAGAACTTGGACATCAAATTTTCAAAACCAGGAGAAAAACAAATTTCTGTTGTTTAAGCCACCCATTCTGTGGTCCTCTGTTATGGCAGCCCAAGCCAACCAAGATAGATTGGTTCTCCTACTTGGCTACACATTGAATCACCTGGAGAATTTTTAAAATACTGATGTCTGGGTCTCAGCCCCAAAGATTTTAGCTTCATAGGTATGAAGTGTGGCCTGGACAGTGAGACATTGCCAAAGCTCCCCAGGTGTTTTTAATGTGCAGCCAAGTTTGAGAAAGCACTTCCCTACAGCCTTTAGCATACCATTTTCACTCAGGTGCTTACTAAATTGTTCACTACTGCCTTCACCACTTAATTACTAAGCATTTGTATGCCAGGTACTGGTCTAGGCTCTGGGGCTTAGTAGTAAGCGCAGTAAGCCAGACCCCGGCTCTTATAGAGCTTACAATCTACTGGAACAAAAGAGTGACCCTCAAATCCCTCGAGACTCAAGACAATCACATTGTATTCTCCCATCCAACAGATAAATGGTAAAGAACATCTCTGGGTACATCCTCAGAAAAAGGAGAGAGAAGTTTCCTTTTAAAAGGTCATAGAACACATGGATGTTTACACTGTATCTTGGAAAACAGAAATAGTTCCTGCTCAGGTGTTTTTCCTAAAAGCCAGGGAAGACTGGCTTGAGCAGGCCAGAGGGGTGCTCAGACCGCCAACCCCACTCTAGTTTCCCGAGGACTTTCCCACAGCTGCCAAAACCTGCCCCCTGGATCAAAAATCCAGAAGAAATGGCACAGTCCTACTAGACCCCAGCTCTGCTCCCTACCACCCCCACCCTAGGGAAGGGGCAGACAGTCTGAGAGTGACTTTCCAAAAAGAAATAAAAAAAAAAATCACAGAGCATTATATTTTCTTTGAGGCTGCTGAGCTCAGGGCTCCCAGCACCCATTTCACCCCAAAACAACCCCCACATCCCAGGCCTTTGCTTTCAGCTGCTCCCCTGACTTTCAGAGAGAGCATCTGGACCAGCTAGACTCCGGCTGTTCTCATCCACAAGGGCTTGCCCAGGAAGACATGGGCTACAGATGCATTTGTTTTCTTGATTCAGGGCACTACAAAAGTCTTTTTTTTTTTTTTTAAGCGATTTAAATTTTAGACCCTGACTTTCTCCCAAAACATATCTGAATGCCTCCATGCAATAAGGCCAAAAACCCTGCTCCACTGCCCATTCTTGGGCCTTGTCCCTCCACTACGGTAAGCAGCTAAGTTTTCTTAGGACTGAGGACACAGGACTTTCAGTGCTAAAACCTGGGCAGCTGGTCACCCTTCCTCATCCCTGCCCACCTGCAGAAACCACCAAGAGCCTCCAACACCCGTGGTCCTACTCCCGAGCTAAGCACCTACTCTCCACAAGGCGAGTTTTTCCTTCCTATGAGCTTAACTTCCTCCCTCACGCAGCTGAGTTCCAGGAAGTTAAAGAAAGCATGCTCCTCTCCTTTCTCTCTTCCAATCTATGTCCCCAAGAGTAAATTAACATCATGTCCTTAGTATTTTTTGAGCCACTGGTTTATTCCAGAGACGGAGAAAGATAAAAGCACGCACTCTTGGGAGTTTTAGACCATAAGGTGGCTCCAAATCTGACCACCTGAGCTCCATCGCCACTAAGCAACTATAAACTGGGAACCTCAATTAACCTGTGAGCTTGCTCAGCCTAGCCAAACAGATTCTAGGACCAGATTAGTCTCGGCCTGCTAGTTAAGTAGACAACCATTAACCATTCTTGCTGAATACATAGCAGGAATGGAAAGCTGTGTTTCAAATCCCCAAATGACCTCTATGATACCCCTTGGACCTGCACTAGCTACAAACTCTACAGTTGGGGCCACCGGTTGACCGATCATCCCGGTCTGCTGAAACTTTGCCAGTTTCAGCACTGAAAGTCCTCTGTCCCGGGAGACCCCTCCGTCCTTGGCAAACTGGGGCGGCTGACCACACTCGGGGCCAGGAACATCTAACTAGCTACCCCAAGAACCCCTGGTGGAGAGGAATAATCAAATGTTGTCCAGCACACACTCTACTCAGGGGTGGGGCAAGCCCCAAAAGGGTCAGGCTGAGAAGAGGCAGCCCTTTGAGCCCCACAGAGGCGGATTTCTGAGAGTCCAGTCCGCCCCCAGATTGCATTCCCAGCCAAGCCAAGATGACAGCATGCCAGGGAAACACGGCCCCCTTCCCCTCCTTTTCCCCACAAAGACAGCGGCACGGTTTGGTGCTTAAATTCTCAAGCTCGTGACGATCGGCCAAAGAAATTAAATAATAAGTCCTGAACATATTCCTCAGGTTATACTTTCAGTTTTTAAAACGTCCCTGGATAGAGCTACCCACATAGCTTTTCCCTACTGTTCACAAAACACACTTAGCAGGCAAAAATTACAAAAGTTTTCCACCTTTCTACACCCCCCCATACTATATAGGTCCACTCCTGCCCAAAAGCATTCCCAAGATGACTTCCTCAAGTGAACGGGGGCTTGTGGTTTCTCTAATTGCTCCTTCCCTCTCTTTGATCTTACACTGTGATTAGCTATGACTCAAAGGGCCTTTCTTCCCACTACTTGCTTCATACAGGAAGGCGTGAAGAAAAGTAAAGTAAGTCAGAAAGCTGAGGGCAAGGTCTCAAGGCTGGGAGATTTATCACTGCTCCAACTCTGTGTCTCAGGGATAAATGCGGGCCCCATCTGCTGGGGTTCTGGGGGCTGCACACCATGCGACCAGACACAAATCCCCAGAGGCTGTGAAAGAAAAGAGAACAAAACATCCATAAGGTGGCTGTCCTCGCTTCCCTCTCCCACATCAACAAGGGCTTTCGGAGGATTTCCTCTTCTCTTATCTCGAGTGCAACTCGACTCCCTTGAGGGGCAGCAGTAATGGGCTGTGAGCAAGAGGCCAAGCTCAGGCCCTCAGCTTGGTGGAATCACTGGGGCAGTCCCGCTTGGCGCCTGGAAGGAGGGGGCCAATACTGGAGGAGCTGCTGGTTGGAACCACCACAGGGATGCAAGAAGACTCGAGGTCAAAAAGCTTTCAGCTTGCCCCTTGCCACCCCAGCATTTCAGTTCTGGGAAGACAGGCTCTAGAATGACCCTCAGCAGAATGTTTACAGGTTTCTCTCCAGCTTGCAAATGGCCTCCCCTCCATTTTCCACAAGCAGGCCCCATTTTGTTTTTTTTCTCTCCCTCAGATAACATGAAAACACAGCAGAGGATATCCCGTCACTGAGTTTGTTTCCTCTAACAAAAACAAAAGGAAATGCCCTGCCTCAGAAAGCACCGACTCCTGGAATTTCAGGGAGGCAGGGCCATGCCTAGAGGGAGGGAGACACCAACCAGAGGGCCAGGTGACAGGCCTAAGGCCCCAGCCACACAGTGGGTCAGTCTCTGCCAACACCAGGCATGAGGCCTGGCACAGAAACATTGTTACATAAAAATATGTTGAAAAAAAGAACAAGAAAGAAAGTGGGGGAGGGAAGAGAGAGAGATTGAGAGAGAGAAGGAGGGAGGGAAGAAAGGAGGGAGAGGGAAAGCGGTCAGGAGATGAGCAGGAGAGCTAACAAACTAGCACTGCTGTGATTAAAAGTGTCCCTTAGAATCGTGACTTCTCCACTTACGGGCCATGTGACTAAAGGCAAATTACTTAACCTCTCTGTGCTCTGCCACCTGGACAATAAAATAAAGACCATAATGGTACTGCCTTCAAGGCTTGTTGCAAGAATCAAATGAGATAAAAACATTTAAAGCAGGCAACTTGGTGCACAGGGAGGGCTCAGGTTTTATTATTATTGATTATCATGAGCTGGAGTCAAGATTCTGATCCTTGATTTAAAAAGAAACTCAAGTTCACCACATCAACAGAGCACAGTGAGGTGGAGAGAGCAGGATTCAAACCCCAAAGCTTCTACCTATTTAACCACTCGGGAGCATTAGCTTCTTCAACTGTAAAAGAAGGACTGTATTAGAATATTCGTTTGGTAGTGATGAAATTAAGTGAAATAATGCACAGGAAGTGACCAACACATGCTTGGCTTACAACCAGTAATACTAAGCGTCAGCTCTGATGGCAGTTACCTCCACCACGGAAGGGCAATGCCGTCTCTCCAGGGTAAGGGTGGCTGGGAAGGACTTAAGGGTGGAGCTCTGCAAGCCATTTAACCAAGCCCCAAATCTCTGACCATTGTTTCTCAGGCTTTCAGGGGAGCCCTGGTGCCTCCATGCTCTCCTCCGCGGTGCACCAAATCCTCGACAAAGGGTGTCTTCCTAGCTTGTGAGCAACTGCCTCAGCAGATACATCACAGCATGAAGAAGCAGCCACAATCTGATCCCAACTTTCTCTTCTCAACCTTTTAAGTTTCGTTTTCCCCCAGGTCAGCCCAACCAAACCACATTTTAAAGTGCGGAGGAACAAGGTAAACAAGTAGTTAGTATATCTCACTGATGCCGAGTAATGGACGGTTCCCTGAGTTCTGCCTTGTGCCCCACAGTGGAGCCCCTGCACATGCCCCCCTCCTCACCCCCCCCACACACATGAACACAGCTGGCCCCTCAAGGGGCTTATACACCAGTGGGCACACAGACATGCGGGCAGAGGAGGAAAGCCTGACCTCACGGTCTTCCTTCAAGATGGGGCCCACACAACACCTCCTCAGTGAGGCTGCCCCCCTGACGATCCTCACCAAGGTAGCACTGGCCATTCCCTGCATCCTGGGTACCTCCACCCTGGCCCTACCACAGCAGAGAGGACCCAGGTGCTTAGCCATCTGTCTCCAGCCTCAGACCATGTGCTCCTTAGTGACAGGGTCTCTGTGCTCAGAGTGCCCATACCTCTGCCAGCACAGAGGAGCAATGTTCTAAGGCTTTTACCTGTATTAATCCATTTAATCCTCACACCAACCCTCTGAGATTAAGTGCTAGTATATTATGCGCATATTACAGATGAAAACACTGAGGCACAGAAAGGTTAAGTAACTTGCTTAGCGTCCCACAGCTAGAAAATGGTGGAGCCAGGATTTGAATGCAGACAGTCTGACTCATGACCACCCAACAGAATGGGTACTATTATGAAAACTGATCCTTGAGGCAGGCTATTAGTGGGGGTATCAAAGAGGCTCCGGTAGAAGAGGGAACACAAATCAGAAGCTGACACAGTAAGTGTCTCCTCTGGCCAGAGCTCCCTGAGACCCATGCCTTCACTTTATATAGCTGGAAAAACTGACACCCTGCAGGGGGACAGGGCTACAGTAAGATCACTCTGCCCATCAGTGGCGGGGCTAAGGCGTGGAGCCAGGCCTCCATCCGTACTCAACTCCTGCCTCATCACTATTTCTACTTCTCCCTCTGAACCTGCACATCTTCACTCTGGCCCCCTGCCCTCCCCCTATTAAGTAGTTTTACCAGAAGCAACGGTGAAGCCAGGGTCTACACAGTCCTCTGGTGAGTCTGTTGCTCCTGCCTTAAGAACACCGTGTTGTACACACTACCACTGGGTTAGACCAACGCTGCAAAGATCAACACCCAGCCAGGCAATAAGGATCCAGAGTGGAACATCTTCTAATAATCCAAGTTTGTAAACACTGTGTTCTTCACGTGTTCTTCACGGGGTGGGGGGAGGTACTACTCGTGATACGATGAAAAGGGAAGAAAAAGCTGGTTCCAATCATACAATCTACAACCTCACAGTGTTGTGGGTTTTCTGGGGGGTGAGGGGGATGTTGATTTTGTCTTAGTGGCTTAAAACAACACAAATTCATTTTCTGACACTTCTGGAAGTCCTAAGTCCCAAATGGGTCTCCCTGGACTGAAATAAAGGTGTAAACAGGGCTGCATTCCTTCTGAAGGCTCTAAGGGAGAATGTTTCCTTGCCTTTCCTGCTTCTAGAGGCCACCCACATTCCTTGGTTCATGGCTCCCCTGTCTTCAGAGATGGAAACATCAGGTTGAGCCTCTGTCGGGTCACATCTCTCTGGTTCTCCTTATCCCCCTCCCCCTTCCACTTTAGAGAGCCGCTGTGACTACACGTCCCCCCACCCAGATAATCCGAGGTAATCTCCCCATTCTGCTGATCAGCAACATTAATTCCAACTGCAAGGTTAATTCCTCTTTGACAGTTAACCTGACATATTCACAGGTTCTAGAAATTAGGACATTTTTGGGGGGGGTCATTACTCTGCCTACCACACTATAGGATTAATAGTTATTGATTAGGGGTGCCTGGGTGGTATAGTTGGTTGAGCACCTGACTCTTGGTTTTGGCTCAGGTCGTGATATCGGGGTCATGAGACTGAGCCCCACATCGGGCTCTGCACTCAGCACAGAGTCTGCGTGAGACTCTCTCTCCCTCTGTCCTTCTCCCCCTCTTCTCTCTAAAATAAATAAATCTTTTTTTAAAGTTATTGATTAGACCCTAATGCAAGATTTTTAAAAATTATTTACCCCCTGCACATTTTTAGGTTGACATCTAGCATTTTTCATAGTTGCAAAAGATGTAATTTTTTGCATCTTGTAAATCTCAATATTTACAGCACTTTTTAAAGTATCCAAGTGAACATTAATGTGATGACGATATAACCATCATCCATTTAACATGTTTTTCCAGCACATGCACTATACTCATTTTATACCAAATTAACTCTGCACTCACTGCCCAAAAGTTATTCTGCTGTTTCAATTCTGCTCCTAGACCTAAGATGTGAGCACTCCGCTGCCCACTCCATTCTGGATGAAAAAGACCAGAAACAAAAGGGCATGGCTATGTGTTTTATTGTGTATAAAATATACCTCAATTTTTTAAAGGCCAGGGGATTATTAGATTAGATCACTGAACAATCCAAGAGTCTGTCCAGAGGCAGAGACAAAGGCAGGCTCTATTGAGAGGAAGGCTCTGCAGGACCAAATGCAGGGCACCTCACACCCCCAACCTGCCTGCACCATGTCCCCTTCACCCTCACCAGTACCCTGCACCACACCAAGCTAACTCCCACTCATGGGCTGGCCACAGCTTAAATCCTATCTCCCAAAAGAGCCCTTTCCAGATCGCCTCATCCATCCAGACTGAGTCCCCCTGATAGTGTTTATCATGTTCCCTTCCTTCAAAGGACTTATCACAATTTGTGCACAGACATTACTGTGTGCTTATTTGATGAGCATCTATCTTCACCCCTAGACCACAAACTGCATGACAGCAGGCAATGGAGTAGCCTCTGCTCCTGTCACAATCACTGTGCCCAACAAAGTGCCTGGCATATAACAGGTACTCATACATTCGGGTTGAATTGAATGAATAAATGATGACCAATTTAGCCTCCCAAATAACCATAATCCTGGTAAAGGAGGTGGTCGTTCTGGATAAGGGGAATAGGTAGAACTGTGCTTTTAAAAGAAGAAAAGAAAAATCCTTCATATCCCCTGCAACTTCCAGCACTTTACTGAAATAGTAAGGCCCTTAATGACAAGAAAGTTTGTCCTGTGTCTGGGTTTAACCCAGGGCTTTGGAGGCCTCCAGAGTGGGCCACACCCTCAACCATCTTCCCTACTGAAGCATGTCGATGCTGCGTCGTGTCCCCACAGTAAAGATGCACATCTTTGGGTGAAGCAGTGTCTTTGGCTCCTCTTTTCTAGGCTCCAGATTGCCGAGGATGAGGGCGAGGCAGCAAAAGGAGGAAAAGGCAGCCACACACCCCTGCTGAGGCTCAGACCTGGTGCTTGGCACCTCCATCTCTGAGCATGAGCACTCAGAGAAACCCGGCTGACTAATGTTGAAACAGGAAAAATGTTTAACAGCCTCACAATCCGTATGGAGAATCCCTGAGATGAGATGATGACTGGGGATAAGTGGGGTCAACCAGGCTTTTAGTTCTTCCTTCACCCAGAGTCTGAACCAACATGAGATACTTTGTGCTCGGGGCCCAAGCTCATTCAGAGGTATCATGGCTTCGCGGTTAAGGGCATGGGTGCCACAGTCAGGCAGGCATGAGTTTGAGGGCCGTTCACCCATCAACATGCCATGTGATGCAAGGCAAGTCACCTAACCGCTTTGGAGCTTTAGTTTCCTCTCCAGGTACCAAATGAGTTGTTTCGAGTGTTCAGTGAAATGAGGCAGTGTCCCTGAGTGTGGGATGAGCTGTGAGCTGGGGCTGAGTTTACCTGGACATTCTCTTCGGTCACCTCAATTTCTGCCGTATAGATGTAGTCAATCAGCTTATTCAGCGTCCTCCCATCCACGTCCTTGATTTCTATCTTCTTGGCTTTACTCTCAGACATGTCACCTACAGTCCAAAACAAAACCAAAACGGACACAAACTTGGTGCTTAACTTTCGCAGAGAAAGTTGCCCTGTCTTAGCAACATAAAAGCACCAGCAGGCAGCAGGAAGGATTCAGGTGCAGAGGAGTATAAAACAGCTGATATCTGGTTCACACCAACTTTGGGTCTGTGATCATCCACAAACCAGTTTGAAACATTCCCCACTCTGTCGCCCGTTTCCATTTTGAAGCACATCTGTGTGGAGTAACTCATTCAACTAACATTTCCTGTAAGCTTATATACACAAGGCCAGGAAAAGTAAACAAGAGGTGCACCTGTCCTCAAAGAGCACATGGTCTAGCACAGCAGATATATAAAAATATGAGATAATCTGAGCTTAATAGAGATATATACAAAGTACCAGTATAACAACAACAATACAAAGTAACATTTACTGAGTGCTAACTGTGACTAAGCACTTGAAAGTGGTGCCTCCAAAAACAGACACATAGATCAATGGAACAGAATAGAGAGCCCAGAAATGGACCTTCAACTCTATGGTCAACTAATCTTCGAAAAAGCAGGAAAGAATGTCCAACGGAAAAAAGTCTCTTCAACAAATGGTGTTGGGAAAATTGGACAGCCACATGCAGAAGAATGAAACTGGACCATTTTCTTACACTACACACAAAAATGGACTCAAAATGGATGAAAGACCTAAATGTGAGACAGGAATACATCAAAATCCTAGAGGAGAACATAGGCAGCAACCTCTTCGACCTCAGCCGCAGCAACTTCTTCCTAGAAACATCGCCAAAGGCAAGGGAAGCAAGGGCAAAAATGAACTATTGGGACTTCATCAAGATAAAAAGCTTTTGCACAGCAAAGGAAACAGTCAACAAAACCAAAAGACAACCGACAGAATGGGAGAAGATATTTGCAAATGACATATCAGATAAAGGGCTAATATCCAAAATCTATAAAGAACTTATCAAACTCAACACCCAAAGAACAAATAATCCAATCAAGAAATGGGCAGAAGACATGAACAGACATTTCTGCAAAGAAGACATCCTAATGGCCAACAGACACATGAAAAAGTGTTCAACATCACTCAGCATCAGGGAAATCAAAATCAAAATCCAATTCAAAACCTCAGTGAGATACCACCTCACACCAGTCAGAATGGCTAAAATTAACAAGTCAGGAAATGACAGATGTTCGCGAGGATGCAGAGAAAGGGGAACCCTCCTACACTGTTGGTGGGAATGCAAGCTGGTACAGCCACTCTGGAAAACAGCATGGAGGTTCCTCAAAAAGTTGAAAATAGAGCTACCCTATGACCCAGCAATTGCACTACTGGGTATTTACCACAAAGATACAAATGTAGGGATCCGAAGGGGTACGTGCACCCCAATGTTTATAGCAGCAATGTCCACAATAGCTAAACTATGGAAAGAGCCAAGATGTCCATCAACAGATGAATGGATGAAGAAGATGTGGTATATATCTACAATGGAATATTACTCAGCCATCAAAAAACCCGAAATCTAGCCTTTCGCAACAACGTAGATGGAACTAGAGGGTATTATGCTAAGCAAAATAAGTCAATCAGAGAAAGACAAGTATCATATGATCTCACTGATATGAGGAATTTGAGAAACAAGACAGAGGATCATCGGGGAAGGGAGGGGAAAATGAAACAAGATGAAACCAGAGAGGGAGACAAACCATAAGAGACTCTTAATCTCAGGAAATAAACTGAGGGTTGCTGGAGTGGTGGGGAGTGGGAGGGATGGGGTGGCTGGGTGATAGATATTGGAGAGGGTATGTGCTACAGTGAGCACTGTGAATTGTGTAAGACTGATGAATCACGGATCTGTACCTCTGAAACAAAGAATACATTATATGTTTAAAAAAAAAGAAGAAGAAAATAGTAGGAAGGGAAAAATGAAGGGGAGAATTGGAGGGGGAGACAACCATGAGAGACTATGGACTCTGAGAAACAAACTGAGGGTTCTAGAGGGGAGGGGGGTGGGAGGATGGGTTAGCCTGGTGATGGGTATTAAAGAGGGCATGTATTACATGGAGCACTGGGTATCATACACAAACAATGAATCATGGAACACTACATCAAAAACTAATGATGTAATGTACGGTGAGTAACATAACATAATAAAATTAAATTAAAAAAAAAGAAAGTGGTGCCTCTTTCAATCTTCACAACCACTCATGAATTTCATTAATATTATCCCCCATTTTACAGATGAAGAAACTGAGGCACAGGAGGGTGCGTATTCATTTTGTCCACAGTCACACATCTAGGAAGGGGCCAGGCTGGGACTGAAACCAGGGAGTAGAACCCTAGAGCCCACACTCATACTCACTACTCTATACTAAATCCCAAGAATGCAGAAGATGGAGCAGCCAACCCTGGGAAGTCATCCTAGTAGGAGATCACATTGAAGCTGGGTATTTCCACAGGCAGCAAAGATGAGGGAGCATGAGCTGGAGGTAAGAATCTTAGTTGTAAAGGCAAGAAAGTGCCAAAAGGATAAATTTGGGGAACAGTGAGAGGCTGGTCCGGGGTGACAGTGAGAGGAAGCTGAAGAGGTAGCCAGGGGCCAGGCCTTGCAGAGCCCTGTAAGCCATGCAAATGAGGTTGGACTTTCTCCTAAGGGTAGTACCACTGAAAGGTTATAAACGGGAGAATGACATCAACAGATGGGCATTTCTGAATGAAATTTTGGACACATGGTGGAAGCTGGATCAGAGGCAGGGAAAACAGTTGGGAGGCCCTGATAATAATCCAACAAAGGAAGGACAGAGCCTGTGAACTAGGGCAGCCATGGCACCACATCTGCAGTCCTGAGGACCCTTAGCTCAGCCTGTGCTCTCTAGACAGCACATGGGTTTATTATAGCCAGGCTCATTCAACAAACGCTGCTGATTTCAGAAGGAAGAGACAGGCTAGACATGAGTCTTTGTAGACTGAAATAAAGGGCAACTTGACTGCAAGAAACAGGGATTCAGAAGCCCTTGTGTGAGTACAAAAACAGAGCCTGGGTAGTTGTTTTCTCTCTGTGGAATTTGTGCAATGGAGCCAAGAAAATAAAGTACAGTACAGCGTGTGGGCTGCAGACGCCCACCTCCAAGCTGCAAGAGCTGCACATGATTCTTACACCAATCCACAATTCCCATCCTGACACAGAGATCTGAATGAGTCTGGAACAGGGAGGAAAGGGAGGAAAACCACTCCGAATCCTGCCCATTCCCTCTGCTGCCAGATCAGGTAGACCAGAAACCCTCCACTCTGTTCTGTCTTCTCTCTGATTGCTGGTAGAAGCCAGTGAAAAGGCCTGTATAAAATATAAAGGGCCCTGAGGCAGCACAAAGAGGCTAAGAGGAAACAGGAGAGGACAGTGGATTTCTACTGCACCCATTAGACAGGCTCTCACAATCTCCCTCTTGAGTTTACTCCAAGACACATAAATAAAGACACACACCCAAGGAAATCAGAAGTTCAACTTATCTCTCTAAATAGCTATTAAGGGGGCACCTGGGTGGCTCAGTTGGTCCTGGGATCGAGTCCCACATCTGGCTCCCTGTTCTGTGGGGAGTCTGCTCCTCCCTCTCCCTCTGCCCCTCCCCCAACTCATGCGCTTGCTCTCTCTCAAATAAATAAAATCTTTAAATAAATAAATAAATAGCTATTAAGAAGTTCATCAGTAAGAGTCCAGTTGGTAATTGTAATGCAAAAGATAATTACAGACAGTCAATTCTTTGGTTAAGAACTTGGGTCTTAGAAAAAAGACTGAAAAAAGAAGCACCTGAACACAAGAACCAAGAGATTCAGAAGCCCTTATATGAGTGTGAAAACAGAGCCCGGCTTGATTGTTTTCTCTCTGTGGAATCTGCACTTGGGAGTCATATTAGTCAGTCAATTTTGTAACTTTGAGGTAAACAAGTGGAAACTCCTAAAATTATATGAAAATATTAGTATATATGGTCAAAAGTTTTATTTTTCTGGGGGTTGAAAGATCATTCTTATTAGTCAAATGTACAGCAAACATTAAGACACAATTTTCTAGATGGTGGAACTTTGGGAGATATTTTTCCTGCTTTTTTAACATGACTTTGAAGTTTCTAATTTTCTGTATTAAATACTTAGAACTTCAATAAACAAGGGAGAAAAAAAAAAAACATGTGAAAGAAAGACCATGGCCTCAAAAACAAAACCTATGTTTTAAGAAAGTTCCCTTATAGCGGCGCCTGGGTGGCTCAGTTGGTTAAGCATCTGCCTTCGGCTCAGGTCATGATCTCAGGGTCCTGGGATGGAGTCCCGTGTTGGGCTCTCTGCTCTGCGGAAAGCCTGTTTCTCCCTCTCCCTCTGCTGCTCCCCCTGCTCTTCTCTCTCTCTGTCTGTCAAATAAATAAATAAAATCTTTAAAAAAAAAAAAGAAAGTTCCCTTATAGGAAATTGGAAACCTGTATAAGTCACGCAGACTTGTCAAATCCAATCTTAAGTATTTCTTACAGACCAGCAGAAATTACTGCACTAAACTAAGGCTTCAGCTTAAACAGACTCTGAAAATGGTAGCAATAATAGCTACTACTGTGTGTCAGGACCTCTGCTAAGGGTTTACCCACATTATTTCATTTGATCCTTGTAACAACTCCAGAAGGTAGATATTATTTCCATTTTACAAATTAAAGAACTGGCATTTCAAAAGATATTTGCATATAGCTAGCGAGAGACAGGGCTGGGATTTGCATCTTGGCCTAACTATAGACTGCATTTCATTTCTCATAAATCCCTGTGTAATTGAAACCTCACCCTAAATAATGACCTTGATAAAAGTATTCCCAAACAAGGCTTTGGTCCAAACTCTAAGGACAACTTAGTACGTAAGACCTAGGCAAGTAAGAACCAAGAGGGATGAGATCTTGTCAAGCTTACTTGCCAAAATATCCTCGACACCAAACAAAGTTCTTGGCGTATAACAAGCACTTAAAAAATACTT